TATGTATGTATGTATGTATGTATGTATGTATGTATGTATGAGTATATATGCAGAGTGTAACATGAGGTAGACTGACTGGGTTTGAGGGATCAGTTGAAAACGGGATGAATTGTATACTCCACGGCGAGTGAATGCTTGAAATGAGGTCTGCAATGAGGAACAGGTGATGAGATCACAATCCTGAAGAAACGGAAAGGTAAAAGCACAAAAATATGAGGATGCCATTTGTGTTTGAAGTGTCGAAGACGCGAGTGAACGAGTGAATGATAGAGGGATAAAAATTGTATATTTTCAAAAATAAAGCCATGACTTCCACTGTCATTGTTTGCCTCTTTCCCTTCTATCTTTCGGTGTCTAAATGACAACTATTTGCATTCAAACAGAACTGGATCGATCTGGCTGCGAAGGCAACGAGAGCCGAATCGTGAATGGTCGAATTTGCCCTGAAAACCATCCAGTCAGCTGTGGTTTGGACTGAGCACGACATCCGGAACGAGTTGCAAAACCGTTAAACATATTATCCGAGGTCGGATACGATTCGGGGAGGGGAGGATATTTAGATTTGAAAACATTCTGTATGAGAAGCACTTTATCCAAATTTGGGGTACATTTTGATGAGAACACAGTGACTGTTTGTGCGCGTTCGGATCGAGTCCAATCCAACGAGTGCAGTGCTTTCTCTTCGTAGTTCGCGTGCATCGGGTTGCGTACAATTTCAGCGGACAGATTGTTTGCAATATGGGGATAGGTGAGTTGGGACTGATGCACGTAACGTGGTTTCGTCTGATGATGATGATAAGAGCGTATACAGTGTGCGAGAATTGCGACGCACAATAGGAGGACAAATGTGAGCAAGAAAAGCATCAGAGAGGAACGATACACATTGCTCAAAAATGTGAGTGAATTTAGCGGGATCGGCTGTGTTTGGTTCGAGGTTTGTTCTTCGAGGTCCGGACTTGGGTACTCATCTGTGATGTTTCCAGACATTATTTCGTCGCATTGTATACCCGTAAATCCCGGTGGACAGTGACAAATTAATTGTCCAGAATCTGGTTGAACCTCACAAGAACCGCCTTCGGGGTTGGAAAAGAAAACAAACAAACAAACAAATATCTAAAGTATTACAGAATACAAATTTATACATCATTTATTTGTGTTTAGTTCAAGTATATAGGACTGTCCTGTCTCTTATTTAGTACAGCGAATGTATGATCACTATCTCAGACAGTATTCTTTCTTAATGCTTTTTTATGCTTGAAGGAGATGTGCAAGGTTGCCATTCACATAAGGATTTTTAATGAACCCATTCGGTATACATGAGTGTTTGTTTACCAATGCTTTATTTGTTTGTCGAGAATGATCAAAATAACAAAATATTCAGAGAACTGGATTTTCTGCCCACATCTCCAGTAAAGTGGTTTCATGTGAAAGGTAAACTGCTCCCGCCCCCGGACCAACTTGCCCGTGCATCTGGACATTCATGCGATTCCCGAGAGCGAGCTGTAATGTACGCGAGAGCTGTTGAAGAACTGTTACGTGAAAACCACTCGACTAGCAAGGTCAAGGTTGAACAAGGACAATAGTATGATGACACATGCTGGAAGCAGCCATCTCCGTCTAATGTTGATCAGACTTTCCAGGCTATCATTCTATTCATGCAAAACAGAAACTGTTGCAATCCAATTCTTTGGCTCTGCTCTCTGTAACCTCAATCCGGTTTCACGCCTACCATTGCTACAAATAAAGAGATACTCCCCAGCAATACGAATGACCTAGCTAATATGAGGCTCATAGTTTAAAATCAATACACAGTATGCATATTTTGACACGATCTAAACCACATAGTATAACAGAAATAACCCCGGGGATGATTGTGCTAACCAGCTGATATTCGTATTCTGACAATTTCTCATTTCAGGTCAACAGTTTGACGGTAATGAGATTGGGGGAAATGGGAGCTTCAGCAGAAGAAGACAGGTATTAATCGAACTCGTGCGACAGGGTTGACCTGTAGTCCTGTTTATTTTCAATTAATTTATAGCTGGTATCCTCAAGTACACATTTTTGTGGCTAACGAAATAGAATCCCTCCCGGTCAAAGGAGTTTCTAACCACGAGCATGCCTTGTTCGGAGAAAGTGCGCATACGCAATAGTGAATCAGGTCGCGACTGTGATTGCTTGTTTTGGTTTGCATTTTGTTTCACTCTATAGACTGACAGAATCGTGTTTTGAAATCATCGTTAGTGAAGATCAGTCGGACATAACTGATAGGTTTCTTTATTTCGGAATTAAAGTGATGAGTGGCGTTGGCGTTAGAGCCGAGAGCATTTCATTGATAACATCTGTCAGGCTGGTGTACGGGGCCTCGTGATGACTTCCATCACTCTGTGAAGGGATGGATGTATAATGTCACAGTTCCCAGTGTTTGCCTTAAGGTTGTGATACATGCCATTTCCCTCCTCCTACGTTGAGAATGCTTTAAGGCAGCGTCATCTGCGTACTGAAAGAGGTCTGACGGAGTGTAATGGGTAAAGTTCTCTCTTCCTTAGAGGAAACGAGTATGCCGTGATGATTGAGAAGAATACCGCACCAGTCTGATCACCGACTTGTCTCGGAGAATGCTTAGGATTTCAGGGCGTGGTTTGGTAAAGCATCGCTGCGCTTAGTTCACAGCCTGGAATGCGCTTGTTACACAGAAAATTCTACCTTCTCCAGTCGGATAGCTCTTTTGTTCTCACTCCGTTTTGCCGATGTCCGTTTTCATCCGGTAAATATTTTTTTATTACACGGTTTGGTGTAATGAACAGTGGACTGGGAAAGCCCCATAGTCACGAGGACCTGGTGTTCAGTGAGGGAAGCCGGTGACCTAATCCCCGGGACTTGGAGTGGCGAACCACATAAGGCCCCGATAGGTTTTGCACCATGATTGGGGTTGCACACAATTTCAAAGAAGCTTGGTCAGATACACACGTATATGCACTGATATTTAAACCTGGACCAGTAAACACTCCGTTCTTCGTCCAAGTCCGGACTAAAGACTGTTTTCAAGCAATGTCAACTGCAGCAGAACATTTTAGTAACAGTAATCAAGTGTGTTGGCTGCTAGTCAGCTGCTTGATCTTAATACCACGCCAATGGTAATAAAGCTTTCGGGGTTTAAGAGTCCCAGGACTCTGTCATAAGAAAACAGTATGTCCTCTTGAATATGGGGTCTACTTTTTCCACTGTTCATCTGACAATAGTGTATAGCAAGAGGAGTACACAGAGTAGTAAAAAACATTTCACCGTGTCTATTGATCTGAAAATACATCTTTCTTCCTCTTTGGTAAAAGATAAAATTGGGACTGGTTTATAATAAGGAAGCCAGTCAGTTTGTCAGTCGAGACCTACCATTCATACAGGTTTCCTCGTTACAGTTCCTCGGAGGCAGATGAGTACTTGACAATGTAAACACGTCTGAATTCAGAGGCCGACTGGTTTCAGGATTTTCAGTGGTAGAAGGACAGTGTTCTTCACCTTCCAGTTCACACATGATCCCACAGAAACCGGGATGACATTGGCATGTTAGCTGTTTAGGGTGAAAATTGGAATGCAGTAAACTTATTGAGTAGTTTGGATAATTGTTAAATTATCTAATTCCAGCAAACAGCTCTGAATTCTCTCAAAAATTCATTCAAAAATAGCAAAGTTTCACGTGAAATATAGACCATAATCATGATTATTATAAGTTCAAAAGAAGCGATGTGAAAATACAGTGATTAAGACCCCTCAAAAACTGGTTAAGTAAGTAATGCAAAGTTCCTGTGATGAACATGTGGAAAGCAAAGCAAACATATGTCACATAGGGACCAAACGAGGGGTTAACTAAAAGCTAAGCACCGCAATGTAACCGTACCAACTGAGATAGGTAATATTCATCGTGCTAACGCCCATCTAGTAGAAAACAATTTTATACTACTCACAAATTAACAGTGGTTATACATAAGGCGTAATAATTTATTCGGTGGGTAATCCAGTAATTTGAATCGGTGTATGTACCACTAGTAATATGTGGTAGACTAAGTCGACGCATGAATGGGACTAGAAATTAGTAAGGCACTCTCCGAGAAAATTGCAGGAGGTCTTCTTAAGTAGTTATATTGCCATTTTAGCTGAAGTTAGATTGCACATTATCTTCATTGTTCGGAAGTTATGGACAGGGCTTGAAAACGTGTTTATTGGAAATTGCTCGTGATGTTTTCGGAATGAAATACGTCACCCCGAGTTAAGGGGAAATCGGGAACAGATTTTAGAGAAGTATTTCATAACGAGTGCTACGATATCAACAACCGTTATTGAACCAATGATGATCAATGGATGGAGCATTAAGTATTCACTTTGATTCACAAGTTATCTGGCGTCTCAAAACAAGCCAAATTAAGGGTCTGAATGGAGACGGAGATCGTGTGACTCACTGTTCCATTAGGTGCATGGACACAGGTGCCATGTTTTTCGCAGCCTTCCAGGACGCAACCAGTCACCCGTTTCTCACAATGACGTCCAAAAAAATGAGCCGGACAAACGCAGCGATGAAACAGCTCACTCCGGCTCCTGGTATTTACACACAGACCGCCGTTTTCACAAATCATTTCATGACGTTGACAGAATTGCAGATCTGTGAAGAAGAGAATATGGAGCCGGTCCATTCATCTGTTTATAGTCTGGACGTAGCATATTTCATCTATAATGGCACTATAACCTTTGCGGTGTATGACTCATGATTTTTACCGAAAGAATCGTTAAATGAATGAAGTAAGTAGTACGTAGGGCAGGGAGTAATTTTTTCAAAAACTGTAATAGGGACGACAGAAATCTTTATAAGATCATAAAGTAATGCATCAAGCACTTGCAGTTCGTTAGGCATATTATCGAAAAGTTTCAAACATACTGTGGTGCTAGATCCGTGAACGAAAATGTTTAGATTAGCCATGACGATGAAAAAACCAAAAACAAGTTTATTTTTTGGTGACAACGTTTCGACCCTCTTGGAAGGCCTTTATCAAGTCAATTGACTACGTTGTACTGACACAAACGGATTATAGACGGAGGCACAGTTTTATTTTATTTCGCCTGCTCGCAGAGCTTGGCAATTTGTTTGCAAACGTTCCATCACCAGCCGAGGTGACATCATCAGTGCTTGTGTATTGACAGTCTTCTGCTTGTGTCCGTTCGTTTATGTGTTCTTATCCACCGACCATTGTTGTCCCTTGTTCTCATTGTGTTCGACTGGGTTCGCCGTTAAACTGGTGCGTGGGGGAGAGGTTTGTAGGGGAGATGGCTGTCCATCTGTCCTGATTGCGGTTTCGGTCCGTTCTCAGGTCACGCCGTGACCTTTTTTGTTGCATCGTTTGATCCGTGAGTTGCATTGTTGTGTACACGTGATTCAGTTCAATGTGTCTGTTGATCGAGTTGATTGAGGAGTGCCAAGCTTCGAGAAATTTTCTGGTGTGTTTTGACCGGGCTTGGTCGATAATTTTCACTGAAGCGAACTCAAACTGGTGTCCTTCTTGATCTTCGTTTTATATTTATATTTTATAATTTATTGTGAATAAAACCCGGGATCCGAGTAATAATTATTTGTGCAATACCGGCTCATAGCCTGAGAGTATTGTTGTGGATAGATCGCTGCAAATCGAAATTTCTGATATGCTTTTGTGTGACGTGCAAGTAATATTAGGAAAAGAAGGCCATGGCCAACGTGTGCTGACCATGTTTAGGTGTAGCAGTTTTAGTTGTTGAGAGTTAAATTATTCTCCGTGATTATACACTATTTAAAATAAAGATTGAGATCTGAGTTGAAAGGTTTGTTGCTCAAATCTCAGCACTACTGACTACTCATCATGAGGACGAAACAGCTATCCAAGAGACTTTACCAGCTGTAATCAATAAATGGTCAGAGTCACGTCGAACGAGGCTGATAATGTGAGCCGAAATTGTACTGTTTCACGAGCTGTCCATTTCAGTGACCGCGATTTTGTTTTGCAAGTTACAATTTAAGAATTCACGTGAAGTCGATGTGCGAATCAAACCCAGG